CCCCATCCAGCAGGCTCTCAGTAGTAATTTTATCTTCCCCTCGCCATTCTCAGGCCTATTAAACTTACTGGCAATTTTAGAAGCTTTTGTTTCTGTCCTCTCTCTCTCTCTGGTTCTCCACATGTCTGGTTGGTCACATGGTTTAACTTCTCTGCAGAAGGTGAAGGGAAAGAGACTCCTCCTTCCTGCTTTGCTTCTCCAATAGAGAAGCCAATTGGGTGATGCAAGCAGGCAGATATGCTAATATCTGTGCACTGAAGGATTGTGGGAGGAACATCCAGCCCCTGATGGGGGTCCTGCAGGGCACCCCAAAACACTGAAAAGCTCTCCTGGCCTCTTTTGGGATTGGGGCTGTGCAGCCCTGTTCTGATCAGGAGGTGCAGCCGGGGGTCACCATGCCTTTGGAGGGTAGGGCACACAAAGGGCCAGGAGGCTTAGGGGCCATTCAAACTCAGACCTGGCAGGGGAGATACCATTGTTGTAAAAGTGGTTTTCCCAGGGTAAGGCCCATCTATTGCACTTCGGATGAGCTGACCCCTGTGATTTCCCTAAACATGGGAAAAGCAACTGCCTAAGTGGGAGACTGTGTTTATGGTTTCCCCTGGTGTTTCTAGAACCACCCTTTGGTCCTTGGCTATTTTCACTGTTTGCTGCCATAGGCCTATTTGCCTTGCTGGTTTTCCAGGTGGGCTGCAGGAAGCAGGTCCTGGAAAGCTAGCAGTGCAGAATGGTGAGGTCTAAACAGCAAGCAGTCTCTGCTGCCAGTTCAGAGACCTCCCAGCATGGCAGTGTTACTGCATTCACTCCATAAGATGCATGTACTTTCCCTCCCATCTTTTTGGAGAGAAAAAGTGTGTCTTATGGAGCGAAAAAATACAGTAGATTTTGTAGTGGCACATGCATCATACATTATACTGTACTCACAAATCACTGCTGCTCCCGGGGCCCGATCCTTTATATGGCCTTGGCCCCAGGTAGGAGTTGAATATAATTTTAATTATACACTACATATTTATTTATCTATTTTAAAAGAAAAAAGCTGTTACTGGGATTTCTTTTTAAAAGAATATTTATTTCATTGCTCAGCTCTAGTGCTGAGATGGGCAACAGTGGTTCTCCTGAAGCTTTTAGCTTAAAATTCTCATTATCCCCAGGCAGCAGAGCTGATGGTAAGGATGGAAGGGATTTTTAGGCAAAAATAGCTAGAGGACTACAGTTGCTCACCTGCGCTATAGATCAAAACCTGTTTCTGGAACTGTCTTCCAAAAACTTTAGAAAATCAGTACTAGTGTAATGAGCTTTGCTCAGGAGAGGGATGGTTACATTCTATTGTATTTCCGAGATCAAGTATTGTTTTTAGTGTCTCTTATATTCCATCTGGCAACTAAAGTAACAAATCTTAAACAGTAAAAACATTTTTGTACATGAAAACAATGGCAAGAAATAGATATATTCTGTAACAGAACTTTTATTGATTTATTGATACTTTTCTGAAAAAATATAAATGCCAATTTTAATGGCCTATTGCTTCTTTACTGTCTTTCTCTATTTCAAAGGGAAAATAATAATTTCCAATTAAATCATTAGTTTTTAACTTTTTTTATTTCACAAATGATATGGTCTCTGGGTACATGAAAAGGTCCTCATACATTCTTTGTTGTTATTCTTTTACACTCTTCAAAATTGTTAATTTTGTTTTCAGATACATTCAGATTAAAAGATAAAGTTACATACCTGCAAGTAAGTGCACACATACAAACAGCAAATCGAGCCAATGAGAATGTGCTGAAATGTTTATAGAATAAATAGAAATCTGAAGACACATGCAATGATGGCTGGGGCATGTGCTGGCTACTCTCTTGCTCTCTTCTAGAATTCTCAAAAGTACACAGCGCTAGTAAAGCTAACCACTTCCATTGAAGAAACCTGGCTCATCTGTCACCCCTACTCCCACACTTCCACTAATATAAATAATTATCAGTGCTAATGGTTTTTAGTAACAGTCTGGCACAGTGGCAATGCACAGCAATTACATGTAGTGCAGTACTGGCATCAAATAAATAATCTGTGTTTGGTTTTAAATTAGCCCAGATGAGCAACAGTCACTCACACAACCCATGCATACTAACTACTTCAAAATTAAGAAGAAAACAGAAAGAAACAACCACTTCTGTTTGGGACACAACCCACCTGGAAGATCTTATGTGTGAACCCAACTGAAATGAATGGATGCTGTGTAAGCGTATTTTACTATTAACCCCATTCACTTCAATGAGGACTGACATAAGACCTTTCTGGTTGCATTGTGTGCTGTTTCTTCTTTAGGGGTACACAAACTGCTACACTTCATATGTTTTGAACCACAAGTCATCAGTTTTGCTGGCTGGGGCTTATAGGAGTTCCAGTCTAACATCTGAAAGGCACCAGCTTGCCTAGGCCCCTTTCATATTATTTTATCTAAAACTTTTTTTAGATAAAAAAAGTTTCTAAATATTGGGCTGTTTTGGATGCAATACTAACACATTATTTAGTAGTAAGGGAATGAGTCTTAGGCTCATTAACTTCCACCTTGTCTCTCCTACTTTGACATAGTTGTGGGACTGGTAGCATCTACTTCTGTTTTCAAATGAAACAGTTCTTCTCTGTTATGTCTGATTTCAGAAGAACTTCAGTTAGTTCTAACTATGCATAGCAACAAGCCAGGATCATAACCAAAGTCTGGTTCTAGCTTGTTTGAACTAACCATAGTTTAAATATGCATGCTAGCATTTCATTTAGTGTTCAATGCCATTGTTTTGGAGTGGGGGGGCTGAATATTTTCAAAATATATCAGGGCAGATGGATTAAAACCTTCTGCTAATAGCATCTAGCACTTGCTAATTTGGATCTAACTGAATCAGAGATGTATAAAATGCAACTGTAATATCAATTAAAGAATTAATATAACTCAGTGTACAAAATAATTCACTGTATCATTTTCTAATATCTCAAAATCTAGACAGAAGAGGTGGAAAGTAGCTGAACACATAATTCTCTTTCAGATGTCGTGCTCTTGCTCATTTTTATCTGAAATTGTTCTCTAAGGAAACATCTTTTGGCAATACTTTTAAGCAATATATTTGTTTAAATTTAAATCTTTTAAACATGCCTACAATCAGCTTCTTCAGTAACTTCGGCTCCCAAGATAAAACTGTTTTTTTAAAAAAAATCTCATGAAAGTAAGGAATAGTTCTAAGGATTTTGTTGTTGTTGTGTGTTTATGAGCCATGTGTTTTTGCTGTCTGCAACAACACTCTATTTAAAGCATTCTTCCTTCCACACTCCAGTGCAGCATTAAAAATAAAATCAACACAAAACATGAACTTGCTACAAATAACAACAGAGTTGGATTTTCTTTCCAGGTACCTAGCAGGCTTAGCAGTTATTCTCAGCACATTTCAAATTTATTGTGTAAAGAAGAAAAAGAAAAAACACAAACCCTTTGAATCAATAAGGCATATGAGCCTTGAGCTAGGATATTCTTTCTCCTGCACAAAGGCAAAATAAAAGTCAAATGCTAAGCTATTGCTCTGACCTGCACTTCATGCACAACAAAGACTCCTTGTATCCATAGGAGTTACTGTGTGTGCTGACATTCCATGATTCCAATAGTGTGATAAATAAATTTTGCCAAATGAGGCTACTTTCAATGTCAAGCTAGACTAACTAAAGAATTCATTTTCCCCCCTGAACCAAGGATTGCCTTCTTTTTTCAGTGCAAAGAAAAACAAAACATGTTTTCAAAAGGTTAACATGTTAAATTGTCAAAACAGTGTCATGATTAACTTATAATACATCTGGTACATATTTACATCATATACAAAGTTTACACTCTATTTTTCTCCATTAGGCACAAAGCTGATTTGTCAAACTCAACAGCAAATGGAAGAAATGTCTTGTTTTTTTTTTTTAAAAAAAGTCTGAAGGAGGGTTCTCTTAGACCAGCCATGTCTTGTCACTTATCGTAAGCTAGTTTGCTTGGGAAGCTTAGCTCCCATTAGGATGCCAGGTGTTAAAGTTGATGGCCCTTTCATTTGCATGCTGGAACCCACCATGGTCGGGAAGCTTCGATTCCTTCTAATGCCACTGTTCAACTGAATGCCCCCAATAGCACTTGTTACAGCAGGACCACCCAGGGGCAGGCCTTCTGGGACCAGGCCTCCAGGAACAAAGGCTTTCATTGGTCTTTGTGCCCCACAAAGCAGAGGTCCTTGTTCATCCATTAACACAGGAACTTGTGGTTGCCCTGAGCTAACTACTTTGGCAATTCCAAACCTTTTCACTTTGTCCACTAGGTTAAGGTTGGAGACGGACACGTCAGTTTGGCTTTCACTGTTCCTGATGTTCTTTTTGTCCCTCACCTCCTTCAGAATGGAACTGGCTGGTTTAGAAGCAAGGAAGTTGTCATATGGAGGACTCATGCATTTGAATTCAAAAGATGGGGGGGATGAAGAGGGTGACTGCATAGGTGAGTTTGGAGGAGTGGAAGGAATGGCAGCCATTTTGGGAGAGTATGTGCTCAAGAGGGTGCTTTTGCTTGCTCTGTCCCAGCTTTGTGGGTTGTATACTGCTGCTGATATCCCACGTTCCTTAAGCAGCCACACAAGACCTAAGGATGTGCTCATAGTAGTTGTGGACTCCCGAAGATTAGTGAAGGATTCTACCAAACTCAGACGCCGAGGAGTGCAAGGCGTAGCCACTGGGGTACCTTTCAAATTGCCAACGCTGCTACAAGCTGGAGTAGGTGCTGCGTTAAGGCTGGAAGAATGGGAAAAGTCAGAAAATTAACTTAATATTTCCATTGTTTAGATTAATTCACAATGTTTGTAAGATATCCAGAGTTGCTGCCCTGTAACATATAACATACTTCAGATTGATCTGTAACTATTCAGTTATACCAAGGGTGGAGAACTGTGGCACTCCAGATGTTTTTAAAAACAGCTCTCATAAACGCTAATCATTTCTACTGGCTGATGGGAGTTGAAGACTGGAGAGCTACAGTTGCCCATCCTGGATTATACAAATGTCTACTTTACAGGCGACATTTGTCCAGGATGGTTGGACATGCTCTGAAAGCAGTTCACTCTTCTATTGGACCCTGTTCCTACAATTTTGTTTTTGCTAATACGAGAAGGTGGGTGGAATAAACAGATACTCATAAGCTTCCAATAAGGGATAATGAAGGTGAAATTCAAAAGCCATACTTTTCATTTTATTCCTTGCTGCAATAAGAGAGGTATCATCCTAAGCTCCTATATTGTTTCAAAAGTAAGGACCACATTCTCTGTTTTGAAACAGAGGCTCTCAAACATTAGCACCCTACAATGACAATTCTAAAGGCACTTCTTAGTTTCTTCTGCATATGCCTAAGTATCTATTATACACAGAAAGTAAAGAAGGCCAGAATCACATTAAAATCAACTTTCAGTATAGGTGAGACATTATTATAGTTGAGGAAAGGGAGTAAAAAGACATGGGGGTTATCTCCTCTAATTTCATCAGCAACTCTGCTCTCTGTGTACAACGGGGTAACAATATCTGTGAAGATGCCTGCAATTTCTATCACCTCAATTTCTTCATCTTATTTATCTTTTACACAGCAGAAATAAAATCAAGCCATTAAATCAAGGCTGCATGTCAAAACTAGAGCAATCAGTGACTGATGTCAACAGTTTTAAACAGTCACCTATCCAAAAAGACTGGATATTATTAGTGGGAACTACAAGCTCTCAGTTTCTCACATTCAAAATGCAATTTTTAAAAATTAGGTTCTGATTAATATGTATGTGTGTGTATGGGGGGGGAGATAACCCCTCCACCAATCAATTATATAATGAATATTAGTTTCTTTGTTACAGGCATTACTCAAATATGTCATGCTTGTTGGCATTAATGCCAAATCACAAAGACATGATAAATCTGCTTACACCCCACTCTAACCAAGCAACAGGTAAGAAAATGCCACTCAGAAATCAATCCCATTAAAATAAAGCAGAACAGGCAATATGCACTCTAAAATGCATGCAGATTTATCTAAGTCAGTTCTATTAACTCCAGTAACTATATATTTTCCTCCAGGCTGCTAGCGCTCCCTTTAAAAGTGCAAGTTGAAATTCTACTGAGTTGACAATTCCTATGAGGCAAACCCTGATTTATGAGTATTTCTAATACCTTACTATGACTGTATATCCAATATTAAATGTCAGAACATGGGCCCTTAATGCAGGGTAGCATTTCTATTTCATAACTTGTAAGGAAACATTGGCCCAACAAGACTTATAGAATTCAACTTTACAACTGTAATGATAAAACTAGTTTTGTGAACTTGAAGAAAAGGCTGCATTCTTATAGAAACACTATTGCAATAACGGCATACAGTTATACCATGTGTAGAGGCACAGGTTAGCAAAATCAAGTTAAAATACTGCACTCCTGCACATATTATTTTTGAAGACAAAGGATAGGGTACACAGGCTTATGTAGGAGCTAGAAGCTTAACAATAGCCACCCGGTGTCCTTTTAAGGAGAAAGGTGGGAAAATATTTTAAGTAAATTTTAAATAAATATTCAAGGTATAAGCCTGTGACCTTGATTGAAATCATGGGGTACCTCAGGGACACCTCATGAAGTGTAGCCTACTGTAAAAACATACTGTCCAGAATTTCATCTATTATTTATGCTGGAATAAGTGCAATGATAGATCATAGTGATGAACTGCCACTAGTTAACAAGTTGCTGCTTGTATTCCTTATTGTATGCCAAGTCATGTGACTGATCTACAAAGAGAAATACAGGCAACAACTCATAAACTAGTAGCAACTCGCAGCTTTGATTTATGCTACTACAGTTGTGCAAACATAAATAACCAACATAACTTTTTGGCCATTCTGATCATTATATTTTATATGTTCAACATGTCCCACAAAGGCCTCACTGTATCCCCAGTTTACAATGATATATAATCTGAGAAGCTTTCCAAAAGAGGGCAGCCAGTCATGTTGAGTGGAATGTGCATAGAACAATTCATAAAACTGGCTCAAGATGCATATTTAGTGAGCACGCTGGTCTGTGTTGACCAAATTGTGTAAAAAATAAAAATGGTTGTGAAAAACTCTCTTAAGAGAAGCCCAGAAAAAGAATATACAGAATATGGGAGGGGGTGATGTATTTTTCCTCACAACAGCCTATTTTTGTGGCATTACAGATGTATCTGTACTCTGGCCAGAATCCTATTACCATTTGCATAAGGTTTGTGCAAAGTTGTGCAGCTAATTGCAGGCAACTGATGCAGTGCTGGGGAATATCTTGGTCACATGCATATCAGATTAAAACAAAAAACCAAAAACCACAAGAGACAAAAATGTTGTGGCACCATAAAAATTGATTGCTATATTTTAATGTGAGGTTTTGTGGATCAAATCCACTTCCTCAGATGGAAAAGTGAGACTATATGATTTTTGTAGTTCTATATGGCCTCATGACCAGGTGGGGATACAGGTAATGGACGAAGCGAAATGCTTCATTAGTAGCAGAATAGGCTATTGCACTGTGATTAATTACAATTATCAGTCTACAAGGTAACAATAGCATAGTTGACACAAGTAGCAAACTGTAGGAATCAATAAGATTTCACACTTGGTAAGGCCCTTGATTGATATTGGTATATAACCCATCTCAGCTGTTTCTCTTTCAAATCTGGTAATGTGCTTGTTTGGGGAACAATAATGTACCCTGGCACCTTGTCAATCAGCAATGGTAAACTACACAAACTTTAAGTAAACATTAACAGAATTCTGGCCACTTTCTTATAATGTATAGCTCTAATGCCATTTGTGAGAATACACAGTTACCTTGGCTGACAGTACTATAAAAGACACATTGATACAACATGTTTGTTTTGGGAACTGTAGTGGTGACCAACAGGAAAATTTCCTCATGTATACCCTATGTCATAAAGTTAGGTGAGAGTCGGTGGAAAAAAGAGGAGGGAATAAAATGTTTCTCTTTTGGGCAACATACAAAAGAAAACATTTATTTTGAATGGTAAAATGGATAGTCAAAATAGAATCAGTATTCTTTTATGCTGGTGCCCTCAAAAAATGAAAGTCATTAGGTTTCCTTCCAATGTGCAACATTGTGATTCCCATCTCGCCTCATATAGGAATAGTGTCCAGGAGGACCCCTGTCAACTCTCTAGAAATAGTTTTTGGGACTGAAGGGGGAGAAAACAGGGGAAGAATTAGACTGACTTCTCCATCTTTCAGTCATGCAACCAATGGGCACAACATAATGGCAATCACTGGGGAAATTTAATTCAAGAAGAACAAGTTCTGAGGTCCAAAAATATTGGAAGGTGACATGTTGTCCCAAACTGCTATATATGAACACCTCAGTTTTTTTGGGGGGGGGGTATGACTCCAAAAAATGGTAGCACTGCAACAGGAATGTTAATATGAAGGCACACCGAAACACTTATTCACACAAAAGCCTCCTTACCTCAGAAGAGGTGCTATGTTTCTAAAATGATTCCTATTATATTTCATGTCACATACACTCTCTAACCTTTGTCAACAGTGGCCTGCCATTAAGAATCACAAGGTCTTTCAACTAAAGAGCAATTTATTATACCTAAATATTGCCATTTAGACGTTTGTTCACAAAAAGAAATTCATATCAGTCTTATGATTGTTCAGTTTTTCTTGAATATTAGCTATAAGCTCAACAGATTTATAAAGGTTTTATTTTAATTTATGTATGCATATTTTTCCAGTAGGAATTTGCAATGTCCTTTTGACACACCTCCTGTTTCTTGTACTTCCTTCCTGTTGTTTGAGGGAAATTATTAATTTAAAAGTTTTAAGAAGTGACCATATTGCTGTGTTTCATGAAAGAGAACGAAGAATCTTATAGCACTATAAAGGAACAACAGGTTTTATTTGGCAAAAGCTTTTGTGGAGAGTAGACCATGTCTAAAGGCTAAACTTGTTAGGCTTTAAAGCAGTGGTTCCCAACCTTGGCTAACCCAAACATTCTTGGACTGCAATTCCTAAAAGTCTTCGCTACCAGCTGTGATGGTCAGGGTTTCTGGGAGTTGTAGTCCAAGAACACCTTGGTTACCCAAGGCTGGGAATCACTGCTTTAAAATATCACACAACTCTTAGCTAATACAGTGTGAAAGCTCCTTACATATGTGCTTCTGTATTGGACTAATATTCTCTTTGGAACTGTAATATAGCTGTAGATATATTAAAAACAAAAGGCTAATTTTTGATTATTTTGGATATGCATTCCCAAATTAAAGTTCATTAATCAAACATCTACCTACTGGGCAGGACAAATGTTCTCTTAGTTGACAGCAGGCCCTGTACTAGCAGGAAGGGCCATGGTTAAGGCAATGGGGAGACTGAGACAGGGAATCCAAAGTGTGCCCAGAAAACAAAAAGTAAAGGCCCCCACCAAAGTTTTCTGCCTCCAAATTAAGTGTTAGAATCTAGAAAGTCAGCATTTCACTATATGGAATTTATAATTTTGGTTAGAAGGTTACCTCATGTTAGGATGTTTGGTTAGAATGGGAAGGCAGGGATGGGGTTGATATAATGTCTTGAGTTAGCTGGTGCCACACTAACATTCCTTCTATATGACTTGACAGCATAAACACTGCTGGCAGTGCAGCTCACCCTGGTCATATTGTGTGCCCTACATCTCCTCTCAGCACAAGGTGACATAAAGCAGTTTCATCGTCTTCCTCACATGACCTGTGAAGAAGCATCATTCTTAGTTTAAGGAGGTCATCTTCTCTCCAGCCTTGCACTGATCACAGTGGAGTTCTGCATCAACAGTGAATGAGGAAGTAGCAACATCCAAGACCATCAGCTGAAGCCAAGTACAATCATCGGGGCATACTCATGGGTTAAGTCTAGTAGCAACGTCATTTTATAGAAAGATTAACATCAGGTGAAGAATGTTTACATTTTAAGCAATAGGAATTCCCAGCAAAACATCAGCTGTGATGTTGGTAAAGAGATTTTGGTTTGCCTCTTGTTTCACTTATTTTCCTAGCTCTTCATGAAGTCACTGACCCATTTTTCTGTACTGGGCTGGAGAAAGAAATGTGTGAGAGCAGAAGCATGGAGAACTAAGAGCAGTGTAATGAAGGAAATTAAATTACATGAAGCTGTCTGGCTTGCTAGGGAAGATCCCTTTCTGAAGATCTGAAGAAGCAGATTTCGTAAAGATGGGATTATTAACTCCTCATGCCTGAATCCAACTGGTGTTCTTAATTAGAGTAAACCCACTGAAACAGTGAGATTTACATACACGTTAACTCACCATTCAGTAACTTCCAAGTCTACTTGGGGTGTGGAGTGGAGTACCCATCAATATGCTGATGACACACACCTCTACATTCCCTTTTTTTCAACTACAGAGGATGCTGTTCTGTCCTTGCAGCGCTGTTTGGGGTCTGTACTGCAATGGATGCAGGAAAATGGGCTGAGGCTGAACCCGGACAAGACGGAGGTCCTGAGGGTGGGTGGTCCTACCATCAGTGGTTTGGGAAACTCCCTCTCTTTTGGGGCGGTGACTCTCACCGCAAAGAGTAAGGTGTGCAGCTTGGGAATTCATCTGGACCAGGAGATTTCAATGGAATCCCAGGTGGCGTCTGTGATCCGCACCGCCTATTTCCACCTTAAGTGGATCACCCAGCTGCATCCCTATTTAGATGTTGGGTCGCTCACCACTCTGGTCCATGCGCTCGTAATCTCGAGATTAGACCACTGTAATGCTCTCTATGTGGGGCTACCTTTGAGATCGATGTGGAAACTCCAAATGGTGCAGAATGCGGCAGCCAGACTTCTTAATGGGGTGAGGAAGCATCAACATATCACTCCCACTCTGGCTGCCTTGCACTGGCTGCCCGTTTGGTTCCACGTTGATTTCAAAGTTCTAATGTTGACGTATAAAGCCCTAAATGGTTTAGGACCTCGATATCTGGCGGAATGCCTTCTCCCACCTAAATCTACTCATATCACTCGATCTAGCCAGGAGGGGGGGTTGAGGAGCCTAACGCTGAGGGAAGCCCAGAAAGAAAAAACAAGAAACCAGGCCTTCTTGGCAGTGGCTCCTCGCCTTTGGAATAACCTCCCTTCTGAGATTCGTATGGCCCCTTCGCTGGGGATTTTTAAAGGCCAATTGAAAACCTGGCTATTTAGGGAAGCCTTCCCTCCAGCCACCACTTGATTTCTTTTTTCCATCTTGAGCACTGTCTATCAATGTGTTACTTTCTTTCTATATTTTAAATTGTTTATACTATATGTTGTTAGCCGCCCAGAGTAGTCAGTCAACTAGATGGGTGGGGTATAAATAAAATAAATAAATAGATACATAAATAAATACTCTAGTTGTGACTAGCAATTGGCTTTAGGCCTTTATTTCTTTGTTATAAAGGCTGAGCATTCAGCCTGGAGGCAGGCTGTGCATCATGGCCTCTCCCAATTTGAAGAGACACTTGTACAGCAGGCTGAGGCAAAGAGGCAGCCCCGAAACCAGCAAAACCAGGGAGCTGGACAGGGGACAGATTGTATTTGTCTTCAGTTTGGAAGGTATTGTCACTCTCAAATTGGCCTTCTCAGCCACACTACAGGCTGTTCCAAGACCTCCATACAGAGCACGTTACCATAGTCTCTCGAGACTGAAGGATGCCTACTACTATAACTAAGAATACATTAAAAAAAGACATTCCTTTATATCAGACAAATGGCACCTGCAACAAAAATGTTGAAAAGAGAAGTATTCTGGTCAGGGTTCTAGACAAATAGTTATACCATTTTTCTAGAAACGTTATTCCACTTCTGTCCCCTGTGACCCTCCCCCTGCCACAAAAATGATCAGCATTCTGTTGCCATTAACGATGACCACATTCAGTCCTTGTTGGCCTTTTGCTTTTGGCTCCTTTATTTTTATTTCCTAAAACTCTGCTCAATCAAGAATATTTTTGGGTTAACTTAGCAAGTTTTCAGTGATTTTATGGATCTACCTTTGTTGAAATTAATAATTGAATTTAGGCCTTGAAAGCAACTAACTGCTAGTATTCTTTGATCAACTGTTTGCTGGATTTCTGTGAATTCTTAAAATAACAAACTCTGCAAACAATCATATACATCTATTTGAGGAGCCCTCAGCAACCTTCAAACCTTTAGCACTTCTTTTTAACCTCAAACACCTGGCTAGTCCATACTCTTAGAAATTTTCACCCCCATACCCAAAACTTTGGAGAATTTGTAAAAAAAACCTGAGCTGCGCATTACCATGTAGCACCATTTTTGGGGGTCATTAATCAGTAAGTTAACGTCCTGAAATATGTTTTCACATTCTTAAATTAATGAATTCAGATTCTGGCTGCCACTTCACGCCATGGAGAAGACACAGCAAATGGGTGGACAGGGCTAATCCCTGTGGGAGTTGCAAGTGATTGTGGATCTAGTCTCTTCCCATTAGACTCTGCACAGGAAGTATCTCATAAAAACTATGAGGTTCACAATCCCTTGTAGCTCCCATGGAGTGGGTTTAGACACCAATTTTCCCTTTCTTTTCCACAGGATGAAAATGAAAATGGCTATCAGAGTCTGAATTCATTAGCTTAAGAACTAAAAAAACACACTTGTCAGGACTTTGATTTCTTGGTCAAAGCTCCCAAAGCCAAGTTAGGGCAATTCCTGCAGATTTCTAGGAGTTCTAGCTCAGAAGGTCCCATGCCTATTTGAGAAGTATTTTCATTTGTTTTTTCCCACCTAGAGAAGTCACTGTATCGTTGTCTAAATGTCCATCTACAGACTCTACTTCAAGTTCTCATTCATGAAGTGACATTGAATCATTTGAATACTCTAATTCCATTTATGAACTGCAGTTGCAATTACCCAGAAGCACTTTTCAAAATTACCAGTAAAGAATAAAGTGCTACCTGCTGATCATTACCACTGCAAAATATCTAAATTGGACTGAAAAGTCTTTTTGGGTAGTTTCACATGTAGAGTAAGGTGATGAAGTGATCTGGTACAGGGTTTACAACGTATGAAAAATATTCTCCAAACTCCCCACCAGATCATCTAAATGTTTAAACACCATGGCTAACGAATTCTTGCCCACTTGACTTCTACACCAGGAAGCCAATGTAGCTTTCTGGAACCCCTTACCTTGGAGTGACCCGTGTGAGCTCGTCAGAAGGGTGCAGAATGCGGCAGGTGGTGAAGGTGAAGGTAGAGTTGGTTTGTGACATGCACTTCCCAGGATGATGTACTACATTTTTAAAAAAAAGAACATTCTTTGCATTTATATATAAAAGTTCTGTGTACTCAAACAAATGAAAAAGTGATGTGATACTTAATACAGGATATGTGCAAGGAAGGTGAAATGCATGTTTCTGAATTGCTTTATACTCTGTCTTTTCTAGCTATTTGCCCCCAATGCTTTTTAATTCTACTAGAGTTTTCATCAGGGCTCTAAGTGAACCTTAATCCTTGGTTTTTACTGATAAAGGAGTCCCATCATGCTGAGCGTGATCATAAGTAACATACATTGCTTAAGGATTAGTTCTTACATTATAGGAGTGCCATGACAGAAGAGCGGGTAAAAATGATTTTTTGAAGAATAAAAAAACTTTAACAGATTTTTAAAATGTTTGTCAAAATGGTTTTCTTTTTTTAAAAAAGCTCTTTATGCTAATAGTTTTGATTTTAAATATATTCTCACGCAAAAATATTATGGAATTTTAAAATGTTTACTGTTAAAATAGTTTTCCTTTTTAAGAAAAGCTCTCTATGAGGATAGTTTTAATTCTAAATGTGATCACTTAAAAGTATCATAATCCAATAGAGTGTATATATTCTTTGTAAAATGTTTTACGTAGGGTACAATAGTTATTGAACAGGTCAGTGCTTCTTTCTATCCAGTATACAGTCTGCTAGAAAAAAAATTGCACATCATACTGGAAGACTGGAAGAGTATGCACAATGGAGGAGGCGGGGCTCCCACTGAACCTCTATGTTCTAGGTAGGAAAGTTCTAGAACATGCTGCACTGTAAAAGTGCATTGGAAAATCTATGTGTGTAGAAAAATCTAACAACCACCAAGAAGAAATAAGATACATGAAAACAATCCTATTTTCCAACTCTGCAATTATTCCTAGAGCTTTCAACAGGATATGGCACTGGAAACTATTGGAAACTAAGGATTGCTTTCAATAGTTTCGTTATGAGTGATGCTCATTCCTTTAGAGTGGCAATCCTAGCTAGTGTCCTTCTGCTACTTTGTATAGACAAAGTCAAATCTCTCTCTTTCTCTCTCTCTGGGAAAATGCCCACATTGCCAGGGAAAAGAATAGAATTGGATTTAATCAGGGTGGATAAAAATCAATGATTTTAAAAAAAAACAAATTGATTTAAATCATGGTTTAAATCATGATTTAAATTTTTTAAATTGATTTTTGATTTAAATCATCAAAAAATCTAATTAAAAAATTTACATCATGATTTACTTTGATTTAAATCAAATCCACCCTGAATTTAATCATGCAATTTCTCACCTACCCATGCTTAATATGTATTTTTCACAATCTCCTTGTCCAAGTTGATTTGCTCTTCAACAATCTTTTATTCATGGAAATGGCCACTGTCTCAAAGTGCAGTTATAAGACAATTAAACTGATTCTTTCTGAGTAATGATTTAAATGAAGCCTACCCTGCATGATTTCTGCTCCCTTACAGTCAATTCTGGGAAACAGCAGAAAAGTCAGAGCTTTTGAAGGGATCAATGAAATACAAATATTGTGCACCACCACTGCTACTTCACACATAGGCATGGCACAAGTAATATTTGGGAAAAAAAATGGTTGCAGCTTCCAGAATACTCATACATTTCAGCTTTCTCCACCTTGATCCAAGCAGCAGTATCTCATCACATTTTCTTTCAGTAATGGATTCCAGGACAGAGGCAGCAGCATATTTATGAATATGTACATTATTTGTGTGTATGTATACGTGCATATATGCATTTGTATATGCATAGTTTTATTTATATCCAGAGATCAGAGTGTAATCATTCTGGATCCACTGCTGTCTGTCTGCAATATTTTCTTGCTTCTTCCCCACCCCCTTTTCCTCCCCCAACATAGAAAGAACATCTGCAGCTGCACCAGATAGAAACTGCACCACTTCCATTTGTAAAAATACTTTGATACACAAAGCAGAAAGGAAAGGCTAATGCCATATTTTATGATACTGTTCCAAAATACTTGGCTGTTCGCAGCACAGACTTCTAAATTATGCCATAATTTACTTAGTCTTCTGTAAGTATGGGATGCTGAAATTGCTATACAATGCAGCTGTAGTATGCAAATGAGAACTGGCCACAAAGTATGTCATGTTGCCCAAGGTTTTCTTGAAATCAATCCTACATTTCAATGTGATAAGCATTCTGACTAAATTAAAAATATATATTTGCATATTGTAAAATCTAGAAATATGTCCCAAGAAAGTGATAAAGAGTTCTCTATCATTACCTATCTAAATCTAGGCAAGCTCCCATTCACACAACGGGAATGTAGAGAGAATGCAAGACTAAGATTTGGGGAGTGGGGAAACAAATATGTATGAAAAATAAAGGCAAATTTAAGTTTATATGTAAAGAGGAGCAAAAGCATGAGGGCACTGCTAATATTGAGCAATCAATCCAAAAATCACTCTTCTCCTTTCAGATATATGACATACTTTATGGACAGCCCCTTTATTTAAAAAAGCAATTCAGAAATTCAGAGGCCATGCATTCAGAACACTTATTCAGGTATGACCCAAATTTAAATATTACAGTGAAGATATCATGATTGCATAGGTGCTCTTGTTTAGTGAACAAACCTTAATAAGTTAGTGTTGTTAAACCATGCACAAGGAACATGCTGGTGAGGTTGCCTTTGACTATTTCTGCCTTTTTTTCTAAACATTTAACACATCTGCAAAACACTGATCACTGTTTGATATGACAGGACATAATGCAATAGTTTGACATGTTCTTTTGGACAGAAGCATCATATCCAAATGCCACTAAGAATCTCCAGAGAAGTTAAGAAACACACAAAGTCTTTCTCATATGGCTACACTTTCTCTGTGATCTAAGGCAAATAAAATAAAATAACAAAAATAGCTTAAGAAGCCTAGGAAAGTAATTACACTTATAAAAGTGGGAGAGCCTGATGGGTGAAATTGCCTCCACAAGTGAAAAGTACTCAAAATAGAGCTAAGCTTTCCTTATCCTAATAAAAAGCCTACTACACAGTGCTACAGAGTCTATTAACAGGTGACACATCACTTATTAGTACAAAAAATTCTCTACATCACCTTGAGAACTGATGATGCTGATGCTTCAGGAATCAATGCAAGCAATGTAAATTTAATATTAAGCAGGGTGGGATAGGGCCTAGCAATCATGATTCTTTGTACATCATGGAGCATAAGCAGAAGGTTGAAATGTTGAAAGAAGATTATATGGAAAAAATATTTGAGAAAGTGACATAAATCAAGAGAATACAGAAAACTCACTGCTAGATGGCAAATAAAAATAGTTCAAGGCAGTGAAAGTTTTGAGTTAGGTGATTGTTTTGACTATGAAATATAGCAATTCTCATTATTCTCTCCCAACACCCTGACCTGTAATGCCCACTTCATAGACACCAATTATGGTTCTCCATTGAGTTATATTAGAAGAAAACCAGATTCCCTGAGCAAAGTAAAACAACAACGACAACTCATTATTATTATTAATAATGAAGAAGCAAGATAAGAAAAGGCTGCTAAAAAGTAGCAACTGAGCCCAGAAAGAAGAACATTACAGAGACAAAGAGAAATTGATTTCTAGAGTGGAAAAAGATTACTGTAATCCTGAAAGATACCACTAGGGAAAACGGTACAAACAGCATCCTCCATCAGTCAACAACGGAGCTTTTCATATGTTTGTTGCATTTCCTGCACTTTGAACACAACAGAAAAGATTGAGACTTTTGTAAATTACCAGGATTTCCAATAGTAACAAAAAGGGTTGCAATTCCTCTGCAAGCTCCAAAAATCTCAACCGCATGGTTGCTATAAAGTGAGTAAGGTTCAGGTAAGAGTGAATGAGCTTTTTGAATAAGCTTTTTGCTCTTGTGATTTAAACAGACAATGTGTAACAAAAAGCTGAATGTGCATCTTAATAAAGTTAGCTCTTTTCTCTAGTCATCTCTCAGTTACATTCTGGCATAGTGGCAATCAAGGTTCCCTCTAAGCTGCATGTGTGTACGACTCTGCCTCCCTCCATGCAGCTTTCTTCCTCCTCCACGCAGAGATCATGTTCAATCCCTCTGGTTCCAGTTGCGACAGAATCATGTGTGCGCAGGGGCGGAGTCGTATGTGCACGCAGGGGTGTAGTCACGAGAGAGAGAGAGAGAGAGAGAGAGACTCCTGCCCAGTGAGGCTGAACATTAGAGGGTATGTTGGTGGCAATCCTGCTACATGACAAAGAATGAGACCTTTCCTTTCATTCACTTTCACAAATTCAGAACTCAGCCTGGAGTGATTCAAGGTATAAACACAAAAATGAGTCAAAGTACGTAGTTCCTTCCAGATTTTGACCAGATGAATCTTACTAAGCTTTGCACTGTCAAGAGGTTCTTGATTCTGCTGTACACAGTGTATAAACGTTAATTTCTTCCAAGGAAAATCTTTTTTCAGAAAATTATTTTCTGCTGTTATTCTTTATAATACTGTGTCCCATAAATTCAATTCTGACTTATGGTGACCCTTTTCAGAGTTTTCTAGGTAGACAGTACTCAGAAGTGATCTACCATTCCCTTCTTCTGGTGGCATCATGGGACTATGTAGTTTGCCCAAGGCCACACAGGCTGGGCTGTTCTTCCTGGAGGCACAGTGAGGAATTGAACTATCAAACCCTGGCTCTGCAGCCAAATGTCTAATTCACTGAGCTATTCAGTCATTGTTCACAAAAACACTGTTCCCATTCCACTTTGAATGGGTATAAACCCATTTAACAAATCCCAAGGAACAAGGACATATTAAATCTTGAAAGCAATCATTTCATTACAGCAGTTAAAGTTATATAGTTGTTATATACTTTGACCTCCACCAGAGGGTGTATTTTCAAACTTTCTCAAGCAGTCAAAGCAGCTTAACTACAGTATATTGTACCAAATTATCAAAAGATATTTAAAATGAATGAGAAGCGTGGAGGTGGCCTGGCACTCTCCAGACATTTTGGATTACAATTACTGCCATCCCTTATAACTGACCATGCTGACTGGAGTTGATGAAAGGTGTAAAGTAGTTCCAAAATCCGGAGGGCAGCAGTTTGCTTACTTGATATGTCTAATTAAGGAAAATGAAAACCAGGGGATGGATATTGATGAAGAATTTATCAGAACTATGCATTATGTTTTACATTTCCAGAAAAGACTAATAATGTATACAAGTAGAGCTCTGAATCAGAACGGAACTGGGGCCAATTTAATGCTTCACTCTGTAAAAAAATAACTCTAAGAAACAATAATCTAAACTGTATTTGCCCTTCTCTTTGAATAGGAGGGAGTGCAGTAGTAAGAATTCAGATAAATTTCCACACATATGCCAGCCAGGAACAAGTAGCCCCAACCAAAAAGTGGGCAAGATTTGGCATGCCAGATGTTATGGGACAGGAATTCCCATCATCTTGCCCACCTAACCATGGGTTATGCTTGTTAAGGATAATGAGAATTGTGCTCCAAGAAATCTGGAGGACCAGAGGTTTCCCACCTGTGTCCAACCTCTTTGGTAGCCTCTACCCTATGTAAGATACCCAGAGGCACATTCACATTGGATGTTTTCCATGAATTACTAAGAAACTCAGAACATTTCTTAAGGACTTGAGCACTTTCTGTTCACTACAAAGCTTAAAATAACATGACAGTTCTTTCTCCCAAGTCCCCAGGCATGTGGGATGGAACAGATGAGGGAATGATCATATTTTGGTCTTGGAATAGGCAGAAATAGAGAGGAAAGAAGTACTAAGCATTGCTCAGTAAAATTGCCCCATCCAAAGGCATAATTCTCAGGTATGGGCAGAAACACGTTGTGTCCTATTAATCTGCAGACCTGGCAGAAGCAGCACTGAGTATCTCCTCTGTTCCACCTGCTTTATAAGAGAGAACCTTCTGTGTCTCCCTCAAGGAATCTGTCCATCCTTGAGGACTCCAGTAAAGGAAAGTTCATTGGCAACCACATATAGTAATGTGGCTGTTTAGTCAAGGCAAACATCAGTTGATCTTCCAATTCAGATGTATGCCTCATAGTCTATAAAATCTAGCACCCTCACTAAACGGAGAATCTGCTCCATAAATGCAGCTACTTCTGTTCTTCCACCATCCCCAGCCTGCCAGAATATCAACTATCCTGGCAGCTCTGTATGTTTCCCACAGTTATTGGATTAGCACACAAAGCAGTTGCAGTCAATCGACGTATAGAATATTTCAGATTTTAAAAAATGTGTGCAACAAATCTTATAGGATGACACTAAACAGCAATATGCATTTGCTTCAAATGATACAAATACTTTCAGACATGTATCTGTGTGCATACAATGTTCACAGTGTGCAAATAATATTCAAAGATTGTGAAAATGGAAGGATGCTGGCTTTGATTTCACTGGCCAAATAAAGATTTCATTCACCAAAAAAACTAGTTGGTTCTCAAATTCAGTGATTAGCACAACAGCCAAAACTTAACTGCCCAGATGGAAATCCAGAAATATTTTGCTACAAATGCTATCAATATGGTGCCCCTGAGAATATTCTTCAGTCCCCCTTCAACATACACACACCAGTATTATTTGATTTAAGTCTCCAATATGATGAATATTTTTCACCAAAAACCCATAAAGATTCTGTGCTCATGTTTCACCTACAATATTTGCTAAAACAGAGGGATGGTTTGGATAGTGTGACTTGCACACTAAACACTAAAACAGAGGGATGGTTAGGATAGTGAGAGTTTCACCTCATTAGTTTGCATTTACTCTTTTATGTACCCTTGCCAGTCACACAGCATACAATAGAAATACAAATGTTCTGTTTCCCTACACATAAAAATTAAAGCAAAATAGAGATTGTCAGTGCTTTTTTTTAAATTATGGGAATCACAGGTTACACAGGACATACCCACCAACATTACTTTACTTAAAAACAGCAACTATCATTTTGCTTGTGACTTTTGATCATTATAACTGTTCTGAATTTCTTAGTTTATTCGTCTTCTCAGACAGGACTTAAAAGTCAGCTTACAGGCATCGAGATACAGTGTCTGAGTCCCCCCCCCCATCCTTAACTCTATTGCAAAATCAAGATTAAGAAGGAACTTTCTTGGGTTTGCCATTTGCAGGAAAGAGAAAAGAAAACACAGCCTTGGCATGACAGAATTAGTTTCCTCTATTGCCTCAACCTTCTTAACTACTGGCCCCAATAGGTGCCTTGCATGCAAGGCAAATGGCAACTGCAGTCAAATGAGTTCTGTGGAGGACTGCTTTGTGGAAGAAAGAGGACATTGTTTCAAACTTTGCTCCTAGATGGTGGTACTAATCAAAAGGGAAGCTGCCACTCTTATAAAACACACATTCTTTGAATGCAATGTCTATTCTGGCTATAAGGAGTAGCTAATTTCAGTGGACTTCTTTTTCATCAGTGCTTGTATTCAATCACTAGGTGCTATTCATGACCTCTTTTGAGAAGAGCATTCCAGCAGCAATCATCTGACAGAATACAAATACTGCAACTCAACTTCTGCTTTGAGAGAAAAAAAATGGATGTACACGCAAACACTGGACACACATAACTAATACTGAAACACCACTTTTCTTCTCTCAGGATCTAAATATATCACATTCTTTTAGCAGCCCTCTCTTATCAAACTAAAAGAAAAAATGGCTCATGCATTTTAAAAAATAAATACAGCAACAGCAATGATTCTGTTAGAAGTAGTAGTTCTGTGATGGGGTTGTGTTAATTCTTGTGTGAACTACCGTGCAGAAGCTACACACGAAGCAACACTGTGGATGCTGCTCTGGAAAGATGTGAGAATGGCCCAAAACTCAACATCCTGCAAACATGGCAGTTGTGCCAGACTTAATGAGATTCCCTCACCAGACCCCTCATCATCGTCAGTCGTGGGTTCCTGCATCTCCTCTGGGAAAGCCTGAGAGCGACCTGGGCAATTCTCGCTGTCTGAAACAGTCACTTGTGCTTGGGACCTCTCACCTGAGGTCTCAGTGTGCTGAATCGGCGTCGAGGTAGTTAAACCCTTGAATTTAATGTCACCTGACTCATCTTCTTCAAAATCATTAAGGCAGTATACTTCATCCAGATCGAGGTCAAGAGTCCGGAAGCCCTTAGTGACAACACCAGGCCGTGGGTCTAGGATGCCACCTAGATGAGGCTGAGCAAGCTGCTGCCAATGGTGCAAAGTTGCAGAACCTTGGAGAGTAATAAGAAAAAAACACACACATATATCAGATGAGGATTTCATACCAGAGCTAGGCTGATTAAATCCTACCATTTGTTTCAAACATCAGCAGGATCTATGCCAGTTCCATCAATATTGCTTAGTGGTAACTTGGATATTCAGGTACTATTTAAGCACATACTAAAAACATTTTGGGCAAGAATGACAGCATGATTTCTCAACAGTCACAGATTGTTGCCATTCATATCATTAACACGTAAGGCTTAAGGCTCCAAGTGAACAGGTTCTGTTGCTTTATTATACTGACTTATTTATATTTTTAAATGTCAACACCCCTTAACTTACAGGCAGCATATAAATTAACAGTAACAGAAGAGAGCAACATAATGTGCACAGATATTTTCACATTAATATCCATCTTGGTAAATGGTCAGAAAATATGATCATGTTATATTTCGAGTCAGGGATTTGCAGACAAAATGACAAAAGGAAACCAGCCAGTATGCTATTAATACAGTCTAGAATGTATTACTAGATATCAAAAGTTAGAATTGTTACACAGAATACTATGTCGAAGTTTATAACTACGTTTAAAACCACCTCTGAAATTAATTTCATCATCTGCTAGCATAACTGCTAAGCACATTCTTATTTGCACAGAACTTGCTACATCATAAAGTATATTCTACTATACCTGTGCATTCTTCCTGGGACTGGATTTTTTGGTGAGGAAAATGTGCAGGATAAATGGGCATAGCACAGGCAGCACAAATAACAACCTAAAAACATTACACTCTACTCAAATTAAAGTTTGCAACTTAAGAAACCCACAGAACAATTTGATCAGGCAAAGTATTAAACCATGAAGCCCTGTAAGCTCTTGTTAAACTGGCCTTTGTTTGCATTTTTTCAAATAATTGAAAAAATCACCCATCTACAGAAAAAGACAAAAGCCCATCTCACAGCCATAAATACTCCACTCCCAAGCCAACTACACCAGAGCACAGAGTGCTGTCCTCTGAAGATGCCAGGCACAGAGACTGGTGAAATGTTAGGAAGAACAAACTTCAGAACACGGCCAAAGAGCCTGAAAAAACCACAACAACCATTAGATCCCGGACGTGAAAGCCTTTGCGAATACATAAATTCAAAAAAAATAATAAGAACATTTCCTGCTTCAGCTGAAAAGTAGTGAAAGTATTTTTAATGAAAAAAATATTGGTGGAAAAAGTGGTGGAGAGATCTCCTAAGTCATATGTAGTAGTTTTCAGATAATATCATGTTGAGACAAATTTGCAATGCAACATACTCAGAAGGGAGGAGTCGTCCTATGTGTGCTGTGTGACAGTGACAGCAGTAGAGTGGTGTTTGTGTGTACACAAGGGAACAGAAGGCACCTTCCAATAACTCAATGTGTGGTTGAGGAAAAATATCTCTTTTGAAACACAGGGGAATTTCAAGAGTAGTTTGTGATATCCTGTTTCCCCCAAAATAAGCCCTAACCTGAAAATAAGCCCTAGTATGATTTTTCAGGATGCTCGTAATATAAAACCTATCCCCAAAATAAGCCCCAGTTCAGTGAAACCCCACCCTCCACCATTGTGCAGAAACCAGAAGATGATGACATGATTGTATTTGAATAAATGTAGATTGTTGTACATGAAAAAAGTAAATAAAACATCCCCTGAAAATAAGCCCTAATGCATTTTTGGAGCAAAAATTAATATAAGACCCTGTCTTATTTTCAGGGAAACACAGTACATTATGGATGTCTGCCACTCAAAAGGAAAAAAAATCCCCCAGATTAAAAAATGCTCCTGAACTGCCACAAGACCTTTGCAATGGGTGGCTGAAATCCTTTCATTTTGCATTATGCATTAAACCTTTAATCCATGGCAATTTGCCACTACAGTTGATTTCATTCCAGTTGTGCATGTGGAGCTGCACAGCAGCTTTCAGCTAACATCAGAATAGCATAATATGTATGGGAAAGAGTAGCATTACTTTTGGGAATTAAGCATATTAAATATTAATGCTTGGAAAGTCTGGAGAAAGAGGATTAAACGAAAGTGTTCTCATGGATTGGACCTACCCACACTATAAAATCTGCCCACCACCTTCATAGAGTATGAAGACCATACTCTAATTTGAAAGGCAGCAAAATACCTTCTGCTACCTGATGTAACTTATAAAATGACAGCAACAATGCACAGCAAAATGAACTCCCAACACTTGCTAAATAATAATAATCAGAGATGAATAGTACAAAACTGGCACCTATGTTTTATGAAATCAATGTGATAGTATAGTGCACAGAATATATAAAAGATGTTCTGCTGATACAGAAAGTGCACACAACTGAAGTCAAAGCCACAGCTTTTCACTTGTGCTCCTGAATACACAGATTCTGATATACACAACAAGCCAGTTTTCCACTGTACTCACAGAACTTTCCAAAATTTGACTGAACACACTTTGCTGGCAAACACTTTGAGAGCTTGCAACAGGCAATCCTCCTACATGCTTGTGTTTGAAGTTCTATAATCTGCTGCTACTGCACTTCAAAGGAAGTACCCAGCTGAAGCATATTTGGGGATGGGAAGTAGGAGAGACAGCAGGAGGAAGGAAAGGGGCAAATTGAAAAGGATGAATCAGAGGCCCAAAAATCCTTTCGTTTCATCAACCATGAGGAACAGAAGTGTTAAAGGGAAGTATGGGACAGACCAAGGCAGATACAATGTAACTATACTCCCTATATATTTTATTTGAGTCTGTAATCTTTTTTTCAAAAGCCAAAATTGACAAAAAGAGGTAGTAAATAACCTAAGAGGATGTTAGAAAAGTATCAGTGAATGCCTTATTAATGTTCCTGTTCAGTGTAACATAAGTAGCAACAAGACAGTACAGCTTCAATTTCAGGTAGCCATCCTAGTATAATTAAAAAGACCTTATGACCAAAACTCAAAAGCTTACAATTTATGTTTAAATGCACTGTTCTCTGCTACAAAACAACAGTGTATTTAAACATAAATTGTAAGCTTTGATTATAATGTTGATTATAATGTTGTAACAGCTTCTGATGTTGTAAGGGTAGCTCTTGCTTCATTAGCATTCCTTAGGAAAGCACCAGACGTATTATCAGGAAGATCACAAATGGCTTTACACTAGAATGCTTGCATCATGTCCGAACACTAAAAAACGGGGGTAAAGAACTACTCTCACCATTGACTAGGGCCAATGGGAATTGCAGTACAATCTATAGGGCCACATACAGTGGTGCCTCGCTTAACGGGCGCTCCGTTTAGCGACAAAATCGCTTAGCGATGACTTTTTCGGAGCGTTTTTGTGCTTCATTTAGTGATGGTCCCTATGGGTGATTTTCGCTTAGCGATGGTTGGGACCATGCTTCGCATAGCGATTAAATTTTGGGTCCCCTGTTTTGCTTAACGATGGTTTAAACGGTCTCATGTTTGCTGTTTTTTAAATGTTTTTCTGTTATTTATAAAGTTAAAGTTTACTGTTTAAAATGTTTGAAATCATAAAGTGCACTTAATAAACCCTTTGTTAACCAAATTTGACTTTGTTCTGACTCTTTTTAAATTTGTTATTGTATTTTTCCCTCTATTGAGATGCACTGAATAGGTTTCAATGCATTTCAATTGGGGAACCGCGTTTCACTTAGTTATGTTTCCTATGGCGATTTTCGCTTAAGGACGGCAATTTGTTCCTATTAGAACGGATTATCTGGTTTTCAATGCATTTCAATGGGAAACCGCGTTTCGCTTAGCAATGAAATCGCTTAGCAGCTATTTTTTCGAAATGAATTAACATCGCTAAGTGAGGCACCACTGTATTTCCCATTCTTCATGTTAAATGAAAACAAGTCTCAGTGTTTTCACATGGTCCCCTTGTGCATTTTATTTTACCAAATTGTAAATAGTAACTTATAGTACCTAACTTTTTAGGGAAATAAATATGGGTTTAATATGGCTTGAGGAGCCAGCCATATAAACACCACATTCTTAAGTATGTTGCTCTCATTCAAGTAACTAGCCTACATTTATTGAAGGGAGGATGAGCCCATGGTGGAGAAAATGCACAGTATTTTCACTTAAACAGAAATCACGCATACAAAAACTCTTTGTCTATTATGTTTTCCTATGCATGATGAACTGGCAACTAACATTCTAGGTATACTTATTGAAAAACAAAACAAAACAGCTAAGTGCACCCAGTATCATCAGTGACAAATAAATATATAGATTTGTAGACAATGGGTCTTGAACTGATACATGCCCTTCCTCTATTTCCATGCTTGGCTGAACTCCTCTAGTTAATGCAGAATATTTTATAAACACATATGATGGTTCTTCTAGGAAACAAGTGAGGAACATGTGGTTCTCTATATGTTGTTGGACTTTAACTCCCAACACCTGCAGCTGATATAACCAATGGTGTGGGATGCTGGGAGTTACAGCCTAGCAGTACCTAGGAAGCCACACATTTTCCATCCCTGTTCTACAAGATGGGCAAGAACACAGTAAGTCTAGGCTTAAAAAAAGGTTACTATACAGTTTGCAATAAGGAAAAGGGTGTTTACAGTGCAATCTAACTGTAATGAAGCCTTATCTCATTTTTACATATCATAAAGAATCCCATCTCAATTCTTTTGTTGTACATTTTTCAGTTATCTAAAATGTAGATAGCAAGTGATTCAACAAAACACTGAACACACTTATATTTCTTATTATAAACATTCCCTTAAAAACAAAGTGAAAATATTAAAATGGACATTATGCAAAATACAACTACATTACATTTGGATGAGGAGAAAGTTATATATGTTTCTGCTGTAAAATATTTTTTCAAGGTGGCCTCCAAATTTGAAAAACAATTTTCCCCACATAAACAATTAGAATAAAAGCTCAAACATTCTTTCACCTCAACAGCAAATGCATGGTAGGCATATTAAAATAGAAAACAGTTATTAACAGGAATGAACTAAGAAAGT